AGGGAGCCCACCCGTCCTAGCACTGAGAAGACGGAACGATTAAACGTGCGGGCCTAGGTGTGGTTGGAGACGAGCGTTCTAGGCTGCGTAGCCATGGCAAAGGGATGATGTGTGCGGTAGCGACAGGCCCGAATGCCATTCCAGTCTCCCTTGAGTGAGGAAACCAACACCTCAGCACAGCGGAAAGAACTTCTACGAGCGATGGGCACGCGGAAGGGACTCAGCCGCTTTCGGAAACGCGGCGGGAGTCTGGGTCAGCATCGATCCCGAGTGAAGAGACTCCGGAAGCGACGACGGATAGCAGCAGGAAGTCTGCTGAGGCAACAGAAGACGGCTATAGGTCAGACGCGACAGAGATTGTGCCACACTGGTGGAGGGAGACTTGCACCAAAGAGTCTTGCGACCAAGGAGGAGCGTTGTGTTGTGTGGGAGCGAAGGCGGTACTTCGCGCTGAGCTCGCAGGGAGTCCTTGTGAGGCCCTCTTGTACACTGGGGCTTCGGGAAGTCTCATTAGTCCTAAAACAGTCGAACGACTGCAGCTGAATGTGCGGAGACTTCCAAAAGAGCATAGGTTCACCGTAGCTGCACGTGAACAACTACGCATTGATCGGGTTGTGACGGGATTAACGATGTGGTGCGGACAAGCACGTTTTTCCGGGACTTTTTAGTGGGACTGGTTCCCTATGACTTAGTCTTGGGTTTGGGTTTGGATTGGCTGATGGAACGCAAGGTGGCCTGGTATTTTCAGTCTGACACACACCGAACCTTTGTGAATGGCCAGTGGTGTGAGTTACCGGTCGTTCGGACTGGTGAAGCAAAGCTGCAAGGTGACAGTCCCACCGTAGTCCACCCAAGGACCCCAGCAGAGCAAGCATATGAGATATTGGCCAAACAAGTGGCGGGTATGTCAGCCGAGGAGGCAGCTATATTCCTACGCCAGCCTCCAAGGAGGCATAAGTCCCACGCGAAGACTAAGGCGAAGGCGCGGATAACGTCGCTCGTTCGTCAGGTGGCGGCTGACACAAAGCATCTCAGGGCTGCATTGCACGGTTTGCATCTCATACTGGCTTTGCCCGAAGCCGGTTCGGCGGTGCCCCTAAGGCTCTCGGATGAATGGCAAAGCGCGCTTTGTTGCGCGTTAATTGAGAATCAACCCACGTCCTCCGGCTGGCGTAGTCCTTTGGCCTCAACCGCCTCGGTGGCAGCGGAGAGTAACGAGGAGTCTCCCTAGCCTATGGCAAAGCCGAAGCACACTCTGTTCGGCGAATGGATAAACTCGACAGAGGCGCTGGATATTTCATGTGAGATTGCCCAGCTGTTGCACGACTATCGAGCGGTTTTTCCCGATAACTTACCTAAGGGATTACCGCCGAAGCGCCCTCATGATGACCATATTCTACTTGTGCCTGGAAAACTTTCAGCTAAATCTGCAATATACCATATGACCCCAGAACAGCTCACATTCCACAAACAGGAGATAGCTAAATTATCGGACAGCGGTTGGATCGGACCAACCTATTCGCCTATTTGCTCTCCTACTATCATGGTGGACAAACGGGATGATGGCTCCAGGGAGCGGAAGACGCGTATGGTTGTCAATTACCAGGCTCTAAATGCCGTTACGATAGCCCCTGATTTTCAACTACCTCCCATTTAAACCATTCTAGAGATGCTGGGAGGCGACAAGTATTTTTACACCTTGGATCTTGAAGCAGAATTCCATCAAATACGTATGGCTAAAGAAGACCGGTGGAAGACGGCTTTCCGGTCCGTTCTCGGGCTATTCGAGTACCGAGGAATGCTCTTCGGCCTTAAGGGTGCTCCCGCTACGTTCCAGGCCAATATTGATACCTATCTACAACCTCTATTGCGACAGGGCGTTATTGCGTACCTAGATGATGTACCTATCTATAGTTCCGATCTCTCTGGGCACGTTTCTCTTCTGCGACAAGTCCTAAGCACTTTTCTTAGACATCAGTTCTACCCAAAATTCCGCAAATGCAAGTTTGCAAGGCAAACAATTACATATTTGGGTTATACCCTTTCTGCTGCGGGGATCAAACCTGCAGAAGATAAAATCGAAGCCATCCGGCATTGAGCAGAGGTGCTGGAGAAGGACGCGCAAGTGCGCCAGTTCCTCGGTACCATAAATGACTGTCGATCGCATGCTCGTGGGACCTGACTATGCCGATATTGCCCGCCCGGCCGCAGGTTGATCTTACGCGTAAAGACATTAGTTTCGAATGGACAGAGCTTCACACGCAAGCAGTGCGGTAGCTCAAACAGCGCTTAATCGACTTCACTACATTACAAGTCCCTGACACCATGAAACCCTTCGAGTTATACACAGATGCCTCTGGTTATGCGATCAGAGCAGTGCTGGAACAAGACGGCAAACCCAGCGGCTTCCTCAGCCAAATCATGAGCCCCACGCAACAGAGATACTCGATCTACGATCAGGAACTCTTGGCGTTGGTCATGGCACTCGACAAGCGGTCGCCCTTGCTCCGTGTCTCCAAGGTAACGGCTTACACTGATCATCGAGCTCTCACCCATCTCCAACGACTCCAAGCATCGAAGCCTCTTCGCGGACACACCGCCCGGTGGCTAGACTTTCTTGCGGAGTTCCCGGATTTGCGCATCACTTATATTCAAAAAGCGAGCAATCAAGTTGCTCATGCCTTGTCTCGCCGTCCCGGTGTTCATAATATCTACTTGCACGACACACAATCGGTACCACTGATGCTCGCAATAGGACAAGCAAGCGCGGCTCCCCGCTCTCGTAGTCGGCCTGCCAACTACAGGGAGCTCGCCGGAATTCGTTCGCGACGACCTAGACGGCGCAGCCTGCCGTCCGCAGCTTCATCTGCGCCGCCGGAACCCAACGCAGAGGCAGAGCATCCTACACTCACAACGAAGACACCAGCTGACCCTCCTGATGTGCGCCAATGGCCGCAAGCTTACTTGAAGTGTCCTGTTTTTCGCGTTCCCTACAAAGCCGCAGCAGACCAACCAGGAGAAGCTCTGCAAATCGAGCTTTGTAATCGTCAATTTACCTTTCGCTACGTAGAGCCTTACCTGCACATCCGCGTTCATGGACTGTGGCGCATCTGCCTCGCACAATTCCCTGAGTTCCTTACCCAAGTTCTGCATTCACATCAGGACCGTGTCACAACCGGCTATAGAGGCCAGAAGAAGACTTTTGCAGCTCTCAGGAAGCACTACTACTGGCCAGGAATGCGCGCCTACACTACTGCTTATGTTGAGTGATGCACTCACTGTCGAGCGTCAAAGTCTCTTACCTAGAAGCCTGCAGGCCTTCTTTAACAATTGCTCATCCCTTCTCGTCGATGGGCGCACGTGAGTCTCGACTTTACCACAGATCTTCCCCTTACAACGACAAGGCACGACTCGATTCTTGTCATGGTCAACTCCCTCAGCAAGATGGCTCATTTCGTTTCTGCAAAGAAGTCATTCACAGCAGCAGACACCGTGGAGCTTCTCGTAGACCGTCTTATCCTCTATCATGGTTTTCCACAGGTGCTCATATCGGACCGCGACCCCCGTTTCCAGTCGGATCTTTGGAACCAACTCTGTCGCCGCTTTAACATCAAACGGTGCATGTCCTCGTCTTACCATCCCGAAAGCGACGGCCAAACTGAACGGGTTAACCGCACTCTGTAGCAGATGCTTCGTACCTATATCAAATCTGACGAACGCGAGTGGGAACGTTTGCTTCCGGCCTTGCAACATGCCTAGAACACAACAAGTCATTCATCCACTGAGCGCTCTCCCTTCGAGGTCATGATTGGCTGCGGACCTTGATATCGTAGGCGCGTTAGCTCCTAGGCTCACTCCTCCGATGACTAAGCTTTTCCGGCAGATCTGCGACAGAGCACAGAGTCACATCCTGAAGTCAAAATGGCAGCAGAAGTACTACGCAGACACAAAGCGTCGAGCAGTGGTGTATGCAGTGGGAGACGGTCTGGCTCAGCAGCAAGCACCTACCACCTTTCAGCAGCTGCCCTAAGTTCGAGCTCCGTTATCGCGGACCCTTCGAAGTCATCGAACGCATAGGAACTGTCGCTTACCGTCTCGCTCTGCCTCCCACCTATGAATGCCATAACGTTTTCCACGTTTCGCAGCTAGTTCCCCACCGCTCCCGCCCTCCCGCTTTGGTTCCACCGGCAGCCGACGCCGCCTGGCCTCCTATCCACGATGCAGCAGGAAATCCCACAGAGGAATACTAAATCGACTATATTATGGTCCAGAGCTAGATGGATCTAGTTAATGACTGTGTGATGTTTTCCAGGTAGTAAAAGGCCGTAACGGCTTTTCAGACCACTTAGAGAACGGTACCGCGCCCCGGAGTGAATAACGGTGCAATAAAACATAGGAAACGTTCACTTTTATGGAGCGCCTAGCGTTTCACAAACATGTCTACGCGGAACAAGTGTAGACTATCCCGTTTAAAAGACAGTTGTTCTGAATCTCAGCACACGCTTCGCCCTTAAACAACACCTCGGCTACGTCGGATACGCCATAAGTGCAAAACCTTTGACACAGGCTGAAAGTATTGTGAATGGCATTTATTTGTGAGGAGGTATTTGAATGTAGCACTCAAATCGGCACGCATCTCGTACAGGAGGCTGCTACTGCACTTTTGTGTGCCTGACCTCGCCGATATAGGACACACACTCCTCTGACTGGCACTGCTACGACAGTGAACCTTCAAATTGAGCGTAGGATGTCACGTTCATCAAAACTCAGCGTATATCCCCATTCAGCTACTTCAGTGCAGCACAATTTCTAGCAAACATAAAGCATGTCGAGTCAGAAACGAAGCCTTCTAGCACGTCAAGAAGCACCGGAAGCACCACCCATTGCACAGACGTGGTGGAGCAGTATCACTTACTAGGCTCTGCTAAGGCTACTACTTGCATGTAACATCAAGCTATGCGTTGCGCTCTCAACAGCGACTACGTTGCTGCACAACCCTAAGCTCTGCTGACCAATGAAATCTTCTCACCTACTAACACATCTGTACCGTAACGTATACTAATTTATTAAAAAGTTCTTCTGGTTTCAACTTTTCAAAACCATACTTCTCATATCTGACGTTTCTTGTCGTATTTGCTTTGCTGGTCCGGTGAGGATGCATGGATGCCGGCGTTGTCGGCAGCCCCAATCTTAGAGCATTCGCGGGCATTTCTAGCTTATACATGTTAATTTGTTAGCAAACTGCATTACTGTTTCACTAGCAAGAGGTTACAGCGCTCAATCCGGATCTCAACGTCTTAACCGCTTACAGGTCATCAGTAAGCTATCCTCTAGTAGGTCACCAGCAAGCCCTATTGTGTTGCCTGCGCACTACAACATCATACTACTGCTACGTGTTTTGATTCTTCGGAAGTGTTGCATGCTCAGAATCATATGCTTATTGGCGGCACAAATCAGGTTGCTCAAGCGTCTTTGTCAGAAGCGGAAGCCAAGCACCGTGAAATACAAGTTGCGGATCACATAACGCAAACAAAGGAAACGGCATGTCGTCCGCGAAACCATGCAATACTCACCGGCATCCAATATGCGAGTGCTGCACCTTCTCATGAATATTATTCGAATCTTACTGTGCTCTACTGTGGACTGCTACTTCTGGGAGACAGCTCTCAAATCAAGTTACTCCAATACTCACTCCAAACCTTGTACTTATCCCAGGATTAAAAACTGTACTGCAAATGGCGCAAGCCCCGTTCCCAGAGTATATTTAGGACTCACTTGATGTCCCCTGCATGCGCCATTTCCACCTTTGCACTTGCAGGCGATCTCTGAGCTAGCAAAGGAGCGCCGGACACCTGCGCTTTTTACAACAAGCAGTTGTTCTTACGCACTTAATCCTCTCAGTATTCCATATTTGGCACACAGGTTTACCGCACTATCTTTAGTCGTTGATGCATGCGCCCAATCCGTGTGTCCAGCCTCACTAAGGTGCAGAAAGTGGCACAATGTTTTCGCGACATACTGGCATTCGATGACCATATTAAGTATTGTCAGTCAGTCTCATGCCAAATGTTGAAAAGGCAATGAATTCGTGGCGGCTCAAGAACTGAAACAATTCCACAAATGTCAAAGAAGATCTCTTCACAAACTCGTGTGCGCTGTCGTGGAGCTGTTCCGCAGCTCTTCATGCAGCCCTGCAGAAGTCCCCGACCTTTTCCTTAGGGAAGGCAGCTGCTTGAACTGATATCGTCAAGATCCCAGTTCTGGCTTCCGTAGCATGAAGCTCATTTCAAGAAACTCAAACTTCACAAAGACCCTACTCTGGACCCACGTTGTCTTTAGCATATCTGCTTCTCCAACTGCAATGCTATTCGTACCACTCTAAGATCCACGTTCAAGCTCGTCCTTACAGATGCTTACTGAACAGCCAGCACTGTCGTCGTTATAAATAAATGCTGACTTGCCGCCTCAGTACTACACAATAGCTGCTCGCCTCTGACTCGACTATGATCTAGGATTGCCTTGTTTCTCTTTTATCGCTCTTCAGACGCAAGATATTGTCAATACCAGGTGGTCTTTACACCGCCTAGCTGATGAAACGCAGACTTACATTGTTTCCCAGCTCTCGCTCGAAGTTCCAGCAGAAGAGTCACAGGGATTTGGAAGCCTCTGTTGACAATACCACTGTTTGGGGCGAAATATACAGGGGCCAATAACAGTAAAAAAGCTAAGCACAGTGGCTGAGCTCAATTGCGGCTAGTAGTTTGCTGATTTGACAACAAGTCTCGCCCAAGGTCTTGCTGCTGTGGAATGCTCCGATTGAGTCACTGCCGCGGTGTCTCCTTTCACTTATTTTAGCCTTTTCAGAACAGTGCCTGCTTGCCTTACAAGCGAGAGGAAATTCCTTTGACTCTTCCTGCAACTCTTCCCAAGTGAGGCAGTTGGCTACGCACCAAAAAGGTGCCTACTATGTGCTGATGAATGAGCGCAGGGTGCACGATACATAGTATTGTGTCCATCGCCGAGGTGCCCATGAAAGCCTCTTCAAGGAAGAAACAGCAACAGGCCTTTTCCACTTTCCTACAGCATTCATTTGCTATACAGAATTCAGCTTCCTTCACCATACTGGCTGGCGCTTTATCGGTAACACATCCGACGCTCCAAGGGTCATGCTCTGCTTCATGCATCCAACGTCTGGACAGGGAAAGAAGCGTTTCCAACAGAAGTGGCCGTGCTAACTACACGCTTTTGACGAAAATACTATCGAGAGCCAAATGCGCAGCAGGCAGTTTTGTCGCGTAACGCATTTACCATTAAACTCTGTTGCCTCGTTGGAGCATAACAATATACGCACTGACAGGAAGCGCCCAACTGCCCGTGGGAGATATATTTTCCAATGACTGAGCAGTACACTTGGGCAGTTATTCCTACTTTTCACCATTGCAAATGGACGCAAACCTTTCAGCGCCCTGCATAGTGAATCTGTTTCGTCTGGAACAGCTGAACCTAGCTCAGCAGTGCACCAAGCCATGGAAAAATCATAGCCTCCACAACGGGCGCTGCGTTGTAGCTAAACCATAGGATAGCAAGAGGATGCAGGGCGTGCTGGTATCTCGGCGTCCCCGTGCATATAGAAAATCGCCTTTCTATCACGAAACCCATTCGATTGAGCCTCAATAGAAACCAAACCGCTCGCCAAGACCCGGTGCACGTTCAGTGGCAGGCACCTACTTGCTGATATGGCAACTGGGCGACTAGCGGTCTTGTCGGCTAATCTGCGTCAGCGTTCGGCCTTAATGCTCCGGCCCAGGCGAATGGCTATGTGCCGTTTTGCCTTTATCAGGTAGCTGCTGCGATTGTTCTTGGCCTCTGCAGTTGGTACACCTCGTAGCTGCTATGAAATTTTTTCACCAGACTGAGGTGCAGGGCTAGCCTTCGTCTCTGTCATAAACGCGTACGTGCGTTACGTTGCTCTCCGTAGATGTACCTGCTCCTGCGGTGTCGACTGCTGCCAACGTTGTCTGCTACGCACCCATGGGTCTGCTACGTCGCTTTCCGTAGATGTTCTTTGTCCTGCAGTGTCATCTGCTGTCAGCGTTATCGTGCCAATTTCAAGTTCCCACTTATAAGGCGCGTATGGTGACGACATTTGCAGGGAATGCGTGCCGGAAGCGACACAAATGCATCGAGAATGAGGACATGTCAGTGTCTTAAATGCGCTGATTGCAGTAGGCTCTCAGGAGTTTGGCAAAAGAGTAACTCATCCACTAGTA